GAGGGGGGAAAGAGGGAGGGATTGGAGTGGGGGCTGTTGGATGAGCAAGGGACGAGCTATGGGGAGAGGGGAGCAGGGGACCGGTGGAGAGAGGGATGAGAGATTTGGGGGAAGGGGGATGAGAAGGGGGCTGGGGGAGGGAGAGGGGAGAGAGAACGGGAGGGGGAGGGGCGCGAGGGGAAGGGAGGGGGTCGTGGATCCTCCAGGTAAAGAACGCGAGAGAGAGAAACTGAGGGAGGGGATGGGGGAGGGCATGGGAAGTGAGAAGAGGAAGGGGATCTCAGCAGGGGTTGGGGCGTGAGATGAAAGCTGGGTGAGAAGCTGGACCCTACAGGGGAGTCTGGGGACGCAGGGACCGGAACTATTCTGAAAGATTTGAGGGAAGGAGTTTCAGGGGAAGGTTATTATCGTGGTAACATAGATAGGCGCAGGTGGCTCGTGTGCGCTGTTTTTACAAGTGCAGTTGCGCTTTATAGAGTTGTGAGATTCCTGAGATAAGAATCATTACCCTGTTTTGTTTATTTCTTGCTCTGTTAAGAGTACCCACCTCATTAGCTTGTTGCAAGGGATTAAATTCGTTAATATACATAAACTGCTTAAAGACTGTTCACTATTATTATCATCTTAAGTTGCACACACAAACCCCACCACAAAAAGAATGAAATCCCTCTCTTTTATCCTATTTTAACACCTATCCCAATTTATAATTATATAGTAATCGGTGTGCTTGTTTCATAACGGTGTCGGCTAGCACCTCACAAGGGACCCGAGACAAAGTAAACGTAATAGGAAATGCTAACTCTGGCTGAGCTCTTACTTTGCGGCAGGTGCTGTTCTCAGCATTTTTTCCCCTTATAGCGCCTATTTCTCACTGTGACTCTTGAGTTAGTATTATTTTTTTCTCTTCCTCTTACAGCCAAGGAAACGGAGATACTGTGTATAAAAGGTGCAGTTGTACCTTATCCAAGGACACATAGCTGGTAGGTGGCAGTGCCAGAATTTGCTCCAGAGCCCTGTGCTGTGAGTAAATATTTGTCCACTGTGCTAGTGGCTCTCAACCAGGGGAGGTTTTTGTCCCCCAAGGGACATGTGGCAATGTCTGGAAACGTTTTTGGTTGTCACAACTGGGGAAGTGCTATTGACATCTAGTGGGAAGAGGCCAGGGATGCTAACAGCATTTTACATTGCACAGGATGGCCCCCCACGAGAGAATTGTCCAGTCCTGAATATCATTAATACTTAAGTTGGGAAACTCTGCAGTAGGAAAACTGGTCTTGATTAAGCACTTGCTCTGTGGTGCACTTCTACTTCATTCTCCCAGTGACCTCTTGAGGGGAAGGAGATATTAGTCTTTTATTACAGGTGGAGAAATTAAGCTCAGAGAGGGCAAGTCATATGTCCAAGGTCACACTGCTAATGAGTGGCAGAGCTAAAAGTCAGGCAGCCAACCTCTGGAGTCCGACTCAACCATAATATTAATCTAGCATGCTTGGGTGCTGGCACCATGGTATTGGGTAGAATCAGTGGGGACTCTTGAGTCAGATGGTTCTGAGTTTGTTCCTCTGAACAGTGGGACCTATCTCTTCAACTCACAGGGCTGTTAGGAGAGTTGGGTGGGGCATGGTAAGACTGATGCCACTCAATGGCTGTCTCTTGAGAAATCCAGGTTGCCTGGCTCTGGGCTGGATTATGCTATACAGACACAGACAGCTAGACAACAAGGTTACAGCTACTTTAATGCAGGTAGCACAGGGCACTCATTGGATGATAGGGTTGATATATACAGTGGAGTGACCTTATTTATCACTGTGTGCTTTCTTGGGGGCAAGCCCTCGGCTGGGTGACTTCAGGACCTAAGAGAAGAATCTGACCTGGCCCCTGCCCCAAGGAGCTCACTTTCTGTACAGCCCAGGGTGTGGTTCCCTGTGAATCCCCACTGAGACTGCAATCCTGGTCAGCCTGATGCTCATGGCCTCACTCCCTCTGGCTCAAATTCCTCTCCAGTGCCAGAGGGATCTTTCTCACAGCAGAGCAGGCTTCTGTGCAGCTTTTTAGACTAGGCTGTAGCCCAAGTGTCCTGGGCAGCCTTTCCTGTCTGCTCCCACATTAACCATTCCTTGAATTGATGGGTGGGTAAGAGGTTATGCTGCAGACCATGCCAACCAGAGTGCTAGGGTTGGAATACGTGGTATCTTGCCCTGTGGAGCTTAAATTCTAGTGGGAGAAGATGGCACACAAATATGGTAATGCCAGGTGGGTAAGAGGTTATGCTGCAGACCATGCCAACCAGAGTGCTAGGGTTGGAATACGTGGTCTCTTGCCCTGTGGAGCTTAAATTCTAGTGGGAGAAGATGGCACACAAATATGGTAATGCCAGATCTTGTTACATGCTAAAATAAAATTAATAAGGGTGACATGATAGAGAAACAGGATGGGGGAGGGCATGTGGGAGCAACATCAGAATGGATGAGCTGGGGAGGCTTTCGGGGGTAAGGGGGAGATAATTGCATTGAGAGGTCTTAATGATAAGGAGCCATTTGAACAAAGATTGGGAAGAAAGAGCTATCCAGGTGGAGGGAACAGCAGGTACAAAGGCCCTGAGGTCAGAACTAGCTTTCAGTCTGAGAGGATAAAAGGGAGCCAGTGGAGAGATTGGTAAGAGATGAGAAAAGTCAGCAGGTGCCAGACTGTGCACAGTCTGTGACCATAATAAGGAGTTTACATTTTATTTTGAGCATCACAGGAAGCAGTTGGAGGGTTTTGAGCAGGGAAGTGGCATAATGTGATTTACATTGAGGAAAACAAAAATCTTTGTGATTGCTGTGAAGTAATTTGACTCTAGGGTGGCAGGAACAGGAGCAGAGAGATGCTAAGGGGGCTTGTAGCAGCCATCCTGGCTATGAGATGACATTTGTGGTTAATGACGTAGAGGTCAAGAACCTGAGCTTTGGAATTGGGCTGTCTAGGAGACCATTTTAGCTCTGCTACTCATAGTCCATTTGGGCCACTATAACAAAGTATCATAGACTGGGTGACTTATAAACAACAGAAATTTCTCAAAATTCTGGAGGCTGGAAGTACAAGAACAGAATGTCAGCATGGTCGGGTGCTGATGAGGGTCCTCTTCAGGGTTGCAGACAGCCAACTTCTCATTGTGTCCTCACATGGTAGAAAGACAGTGAGCTAGCTCTCTGGGGTCCCTTTTATAAGGGTACTAATCCCATTCATGAAGGATCTACCTTCATGACCTAATCAAAGGCCCCATCTCCTAATACTATCACCTTGGGGATTAGAATTTCAACATGAATTTTGGAGGGACACAAACATTTATTCTATTGCACAGCCTGTGTCCTTGATCTAAAGATTTTCTCTGCTGACCTCCTTTTCTCTGCTGCAAAATGGGGTTGGCAGCAGAACCTACCTGAAAAAGGGCCACTGTGAAGAATCGAAGAGATGTTTGCAAAGTGTTAGCTCAGTGCCCAGCCCAGAGCAAGAACACAGTATATTAACTCTTACCTTTATGGTTATTACAACTCCATGGGGTTACTGTGAAGTTAAAGGTGATCAAGTATATGAGGTGTGGAGTGTGTCAAGCTGTTAGTGCTCTGGGCTGCAAGTAATAGAGGGCCCAACCTATAGGATTTCTTTGCTTCGATGTAACAAGAAGCTAGAAGTAGGCTCAAGCATGAGTTTAGTTGGACATCACAGGCAGAGTCCAGGTAAATCTCTAAGATTTTCTTGGCTTTCTTCTGATCATGCTGTGGTCACAACATGGCTGTGGAGCTCCAAGCAGTTTGTCTTCACCCAACAGAGAAGAGCTCCACACAGAGCTCTTGTATCAAGAGGAAAATCATCCAGACACAGACTCCTCTTAGATCTCAGTGGCCAGAACCAGTTAGCCTCCTTTGTATCAAGAGGAAAATCATCCAGACACAGACTCCTCTTAGATCTCAGTGGCCAGAACCAGATTATGTGTCCACCCCTTTATCCCCACCCTTGTGGTCAAGGAACTTTCCTGTAGTCATACAATACAGGCTAAATTGCTTAACAAGGAGAACCCAAATTAACAGTGCCTCAAATAAGGTAGAAACTTATTCTTCTCTCATATAACAGTTTATAGGTGTTCTGGGATGGGTCAGTGCCTGAGCCACACAAGGTCATCAGAGTCCCTACTGTCTTGTCTTCTACTATCCTTGAGGTCAGGGGACAGCACTCTTTTTCTGTAAACAGTCAGATAGTAAATATGTTTGGCCTGTGGACAGCTTTGTAGGCTACCCAGTCTCTGTCGCAGCTACTCAGCTCTGCTGTGGTATCTCCAAAGCAGCCACAGAGGATGCATAAGCAAATGGGTGTGGCCGTGTGCTGATAAAGTTTTATTTAATTAAAAAAAAAAACAGGCTACAGGCTAGATTTAGCCCACGGGCTTGCTGTTGTTTGCTGACTCCAACTGTAGGCTAGTGGTTCTCAAACATTTTGAACTCAAGACACCTTTATACCCTTAAGAATTATTGAAAACCCTTAAAAATTATTGAAAACCCCAAAGCACTTTTATTTACAGGAATCTTATCTAATGATATGTATCATATTAGAAACTGAGACTGAGAAAATTTCAAAGTACTTATTAATACATTTAAAAATAGCAATAATAAGGGCCGGCCTGTGGCCCACTTGGGAGAGTGTGGTGCTGATAACACCAAGGCCACGGGTTCAGATCTCTATATAGGGATGGCCAGCTAGCTCACTGGGTGAGCGTGGTACTGACAACACCAAGTCAAGGGTTAAGATCCCTTTACCAGTCATCTTTTTTAAAAAAATAAAAAATAAAAATAGCAATAATAAACTCTTCATGTGTTAATAGAAATCATATTTTTTAAATGCAAAATAGCCATGTTTTTCAAAACAAAAAGTTTGGAAACAGCAAAAAACATTATTTTTTTTGTAAATCTCTTTAATGTCTGACTTTGAAGACAGCTGGGTTTCTCCTATTTGCTTCTGCCTTCAACCTATGGCAATGTAGCCTCTGGAAAACCCCATTGTATGCTCACAAGAGAATGAGAGTAAAGAAGCAAATAACATCTTAGTGTTATCAGAAAAATGATTCTGACCTTGCAGTACCCCTTGGGAGGATCTCAGGGATCCCTGAGGGTCTCCAGACCACCGGAGGACCACTGTCCTAGGCCAGGGTTTCTCAACCTTGGCACTACTGATATATGAGGGTGGGTCATTTTTTGTTGTGGGGGGCTGTCCTGTGCATTGTAGGATATTAAGCAGCATCCCTGGCCTCCACCCACTAGATGCCAACAGCGCTGCTCTCCACCAACCCCCCGTCCTCACAATTAAAAATGTCCGCCGGGGGGGGGTAACATCACCCCCAGTTAAGAACCACTGCTCTAGGCTGTTGCCATCATCCTCCCAACTGAAGCCGCAGCCACATCTAGTTCCGCCTTCAGGAAGGGGGAAAGAGGAAGTTGAAGACAAACAGCTTTTGGGGGTGGGGAGTTTTACAGAAAGGAAAAAGGGGCTTGTGGATATTGGGGAACTCTTGGCAGTCAGCCACATTTGACAATGCCAGACATGATTGGGGATCTGTTAGTGTATGAGGGCAATTCAAAAAGTTCATGGAAAGGTTCATATTATCTTTCATTTCCATTTTCCTTGAGCTTTTTGAAGTGCCCTCGCATTAGTCTGCTTGGGCTATGTTATGGACCGAATGTTTATATCCCCCCCACCCCCCACCCCCCTCAATTCATATGCTGAAACTCTGATCCCCAATGTGATAGTATTAGGAGGTGGGGCCTTTGGAAGGTGATGAGGTCATGAGGGTGGAGCTCTCATGCATGGGATTAGTGTACTCTTATAAGAAGAGACATCAGAGAGCTCGCTTCCTCTCTCTGCTGTCTGCCATGTGAGGACACAGAAGGTGGCCATCTGTAACTGGAAGAGGGTCCTCACAAGAACTTCATGCTAACACCCTGATTTCGGGCTTCAGCTTCCAGAACTTTGAGAAATGACTGTCTACTGTTTGTAAGCCACCCAGTCTATGGTACTTTGTTACAGCAGCCCAAATGGACTAAGACAAACTGCCATAACAATGTACCACAGACTGGGTGGCTTAATCAACAGAAATTTTTTCTCACAGTTCTGGAAGCTGGAAGTCTGAGTTCCTGGTGAAGGTCTCTTCCAGGTTGCAGACAGTTTCCTTCTCACTGTGTTCTCATGTGGTAGAGTGAGAAATCACTGGTGTCTCTTCCCCTTATTATAAGGCCACAGTCCTATTCAGTTAGGCCCCTATCCTTATGATCTCATTTAACCTTAATTACCTCCTAAAAGCCCCATCTCCAAATATGGTCACATTGGAGTTAGAGTTTCAACACATGAATTTTGGGGGGATGCAGTGCAGTCCATAGCAGTTAGGAAGGGTTTGGAGAGTGGCCTTTGGGTAGGCATCCTAAAGTGTCTGCCACAGGGGACATAGAATTCCGTTTGCAGTCAGGACAGAACAATTATAAAAACAACGATGCTGACGGTAATTCACATTTTTTGAGTACTTGCTACTTGCCAGGCGCTGTTGTAAGCTGTTTAAGTATTTTCTTGTGTAATCCTCACAATGAAGCTGTGGGAGAAGCTTCAAGGAGACTGAGGTACAGAGGTTCCCAGGGTCACCCCTGGAGAGGGACAGAGCCAGGATTTGGATCCTTTCAGTCCCAGGCAGGGTGTATTTTCTTGTGTAATCCTCACAATGAAGCTGTGGGAGAAGCTTCAAGGAGACTGAGGTACAGAGGTGCCCAGGGTCACCCCTGGAGAGGGACAGAGCCAGGATTTGGATCCTTTCAGTCCCAGGCAGGGGGAAAAGACTACAGCACCTCTTGGGGAGCCCACCCTCCCCTTGGCCATATGAAGCAAGCAAGCACTTCACCTTACAGGGAAGAAAACTGAGGCACAGAGGCAATGGCACTCACTCCAGGTCACACGGCTAAGAAGGGGAGCTGGGGACCCTTGGGCTCCCCTTGCACCGTAGCAGGGGTGGCAGGTTCTAGGATGATTAAGCTGGGCTTTCACCTCACTGAGCTTCCCTCCCCACAGGTGCTGCTGACCCCTGCCCCAGAAGGCCCCATGGAGGTCACGGTGCCCCAGCCTGTGAAGCAGGAGGGCCAGGCTGCCGAGGGCCTGATCTTGGACTCACCATGGCACCGGTTCCGCCACTTCCACCTGGGTGATGCACCGGGTCCCCGTGAGGCGCTGGGCCTGCTCCGTGCCCTGTGCCGAGACTGGCTCCGGCCTGAGGTGCACACCAAGGAGCAGATGCTGGAGCTGCTGGTGCTGGAGCAATTCCTGAGTGCCCTCCCTGCTGACACTCAGGCCTGGGTGTGCAGCCGACGGCCCCAGAGTGGTGAGGAAGCTGTGGCCCTGCTGGAGGAGCTCTGGGTAAGTCCAGCGGGCAGGCAGGCAGGAATAGGAGGGGGTCACTCGCCACCACCTCCGTGGTGTCCTCAGCATTGGTCCTTAGCATGTTGTGTTGTGACACAGTGATACACCACACGTAGACAAGTGCATAAAAATACGCCACAGAACCCTGATAACAAGTGGTGTGCGTTTGTCCAGTGGGGATGCTTTAGCTTTAGCCTAGATGCACATGCGAGGCCCATGGTGCAGTTCAGTGGGAACAGAGTCCACGTTGAGACTGCCCTTGATTCCAGCACCAGTTGCAGATAGGAGGTGCTAAGACCACCCTCATATTTGATAGTTCTCTAGAAGGATGCATAGAATTCTCCAAAGCCCCTATACTCACAGTTTCAGTTTATTACAGTGAAAGGACACAGATTAACATTAGCCAAGGGAAGAGGCGCTTCAGGCAGGGTCCAGGAATGTTGCAAGCAGGGAGCTTCCAGCTGTCCTTTCCCTGTGGGGACAGTAACAGCGCTAACTCCTCCCAGAAGTGATATGTGAGAATACGCAGGGAGTGTTGTCAACCAGGGAAGCTCCAGGCCTTGGTGCCCATGGTTTTAACTGAGGGTCAGCCATGCAGACGTGGTTTACATTCTGTGTGGCTGACGTCAGTTCCAGCCCCCCACCCCACCCCCGGAGGTCAACTGATACTACGTGGCCCAAACCCCCACCCTAAATCTATCATTGCTCTCTGACTGGCCTGAGGACCACTGGCAGACATACCCTTCTCTCAGGTGCAACATTCCAAGGGCTCAGAGATGACTTCCCAGAGGACTAATGCAGAGGCCAGACCTCTCTTCGGGCAAGTTTTTTTTTTTTTCTTTTTCTTTGTAATTATTTTCTTCGGGTAAGTTTAAATTTTTATTACACAGCAGGGATCTGCAGACTTACAGCCCACAATCTGTGTTTGTGAAGTTTTGTTGGCACTTCTTTTTCTTTGTAATTATTTTCTTCGGGTAAGTTTAAATTTTTACTACACAGCAGGGATCTGCAGACTTACAGCCCACAATCTGTGTTTGTGAAGTTTTGTTGGCACACAGCCACACCCATTCATTTACATTGTCTGTGGCGACATTTGAGCTGCAGTGGCAGACCTGAGCTGTCAGGACAGAAGCCTGTGGCACCCATCACATGGCCAGTGGCTGCCGTACTGGGCCTGAGTGATGAGCAGCAGCCAGCCATGCAGGGACCCAGGAGAAGAGTTGTCCAGGCTGAGAGAGCAGCCAGTGCAAAGGTCCTGAGGTGTATTCAAAAAGCAGAGAGGCTAGTGAGTAGGGGGGTTGTAAGTGGTGAGGTCTGAGGCAACGGACTGGGGGTGAAAAGTCAGACAGGATGGGCAAATGTTCATTGTAAGTGCTTATTGAGTGCCTTCTGAATGCCAGGGATATAACAGCAGAAAAGGCAGCATCTCTGTGAGGCAAAGTGAGCAAAAATCTTTCAGTCCATGACAGCTGGGCATCCTTCCCTTCTTTCCAAGGGATTGGTTCTGGTGGAGGCTGCCAGTGATCTCACAGTTCCTAATCCAGTGTCTCATCTGTCTCCTCTCTTACTTTCTGGGGCATGGCTTGCCCCTCATTTCCTCCCACTTCATAGGCACCTCCATGATAACTCTTGCTGGCTCCTCTCAGGCCTTCCCTCTTCTTTTTTCCTCACTCACTCTGGATCATTGTTTCCCAAAGTAAGTCATGTGAGTTTCCCATTGCTGCTGTAACAAATCACCATAAACTCCGTGGCTTATGAATGCCTCAAATCTATTTTCCTAACAATTCTGAGGTCAGAGATCCAAACTGGGTCTCAAAAATCAAGGAATCAGCTGAGCAACATTCCTTCTCTGGAGGTTCCAGGGGAGAATCCCTTTTGGTGCCTTTTCCGGCTTCTAAAGGCAGCCCACATCCCTTGGCTCATAGCTTCTTCCCCCATTTTCAGATTGCTTCACTCCGAGCTGTCCTTCCATCTTCCTGTCTGCTCCTCTGACCTTGACCCTCTTATGTCCCTCTGTCACTTATAAAGATACTTGTGACTTCATTGGGCCCGTCCAGATAATCCAGGATAATTTCCCCACTCCAGGGTCTTTAATTCAGTCATATCTGCAGAGTCCCTTTTGCCCTGTAAGGCAGCATATTCACAGATTTGGGGATTAGGACATGGACACCTTTGGGACCGTTATTCTGTCTACTACAGAGTTGAAGTGAACACAAGGTGAATGGGTGGTGGAAGAGAATGACATGGAATCCAACAGCCTTGGGGTTATTCCCTCTCCAGTTTCTATTAATCCCCTGCTTGCTTCAAGGAAAACATCTCACCATAGGGCTGAGATGTCTTTAACGCCTCCTCTGTTTGCTGTTCTTTCTTTTTAACAAGAGCAGGTCTCAGGCTCAGAACTTTCTGTATCATTCTCCACTGAGACTGGAATAACGTTGTATTGTGTGACTGAATTTTTCATGACATCTCTCTGCAGCATGTGATACTGTCTTTCCATCTCCGGCAACGTATCAAATTATTTTAAGTGAATGCAATTTTAGGTAAAAGTAAAGAGGAGTAATGATAGCCTGGGTGGTAGCCATTGCAACTGAAGTTGTGACAGTGGTGGGTGGAGAGCTGAAATTTGGGGAGCACAGCTTTAGACTGGGGTTCTTCAGCCTCTGGTCCGAGGGTCCGCACCTGTCCCCTACAGAGTTTTCACTGACACATTGCAGGATGAGGAAGATGAGAACTGGGTAGAGATGCACGTGCTGGTAGAAGGCAGTGGTTTGAAACTCTGTCATATCCAGGATCACTTGGAAGCCTCTAAAAAATACTTGTTGCCAGGATCTTACTCTCAGATGCTTAAATGTTGAGTGAGGTGGGTGGGGCAATGGCTGCAGCAGTTTTTAAACCTTTTTTTAATGTACAGTTCTTGGCATTTTTTTGTTTGTTGGTGGCTGGCTGGAAAGGGGATCCAAACCCTTGACTCTGGTGTTACAAGGTGGTGCTCTAACCAGCTGTGCTCATACTGGGGGGAACCTGGTTCTGGTGCTTGAGGAGCTCACAGCTGGGAGAGGAATACAGGCCCAGATACCCTTACAGTCCAGGATGCCAGTTCTTTGCATTTTTAACACATGACAGATTCTCGTACTGACCACCCTGATAAGGGTGCAGAACTATTCCATCACCCCAAAGAAATCTGTTGTGCCACCCCTCTGTCATGACCCACCCCTGCCCCAACCCCTGCAAATGCAGAGCAGGTCTCCATCACTATAGTTTTGTCTCTTGGGGAATGTCATATAAAAGGAATCATATGGTATGTAACCTTGAGACTGGCTTCCTTTAGCTTCATCCACGTTGTAGCATGTATCTATAGTTCATTCCTTTTTATTGCTGAGTAGTATCCCTGTGGTATGGATGTGCTGCAGTTTGTGTCTTCAGGCCCTCAATGAGGGACTTTTGGGTTGTTTCCAATTTTTAGTGATTTTTTTAATGGAGCTACTTTATATCTCTGTGTATAGGCTTCTGTGTGAACACAGGTTTTCACTTATTGAGGGTAATATCCAGGAATGTGATTGCTGGGTTTCATGGTCTTAGTCCACCCCAGCTGCTACAACAAAGTACCATAGACTGAGTGGCTTATAAACAACAGACATTTATTTCTCACAGTTCTGGAGGCTGGAAGTCCAAGGTCAGGGTGCCAGCAGGTTCATTGTCTGGTGAGGAACCACTTCCTGGTTCATAGGTAGTGCCTTCTAGCTGTGTCCTCGCATGGTGCAGGCGGGGAGGGAGCTCTCTGGGGCCTCACTTAAAAGGGCACTAATCCCATTCATGAGAGCTCCACCCTCATGAATAAATCACCTCCCAAAGGCCCCCCCTCCTAATACCATCACCTTAGGGATGAGGATTTCAGCATAAGAATTTGAGGGGGACACCAACATTCAGTCCACAGCAAAGTCTTCTGTCCATTTTCCAGTTGGGTTGTTTTTTTGCTGTTGTTGAGTTTTGAGCATGTTCATATTTTCTGGATATAAGTCCTTTGTCAGGTATTAGACTTTTGCATTTTTAAGAAGTGCCTCGTGATTTGTGTGTGCCATGCGGGGGTTGGGGACCACTGGTAAGAGAGAACCAGTCCTTCTCCAGGAGACAGTGAGGGAGCCCACAGACCTGGGAGCTGTTCTGCCTCAGTCACCTCCCAGCCACGTTGCCTCAGGAAAGTTACTTACTTCTCTCTGCCTCAGCTTCTTCATCTTACATCAGGGTCAGTAATTACAGTACCTACCTCATGGTGAAGGTGAATGTATTAATGTATGGAATGTTCTCAGAACAGGTCCCTGCATGAAGGTGTGTGTAGATGGGTTTTGGCTACTTTTATGACTCTGAGCTCATCCCGTCTGTTTCTTTGGCATTAAAATGTTCTTTTAGGAAATGATGGTAAAAGTAGATGATAGTTATTATTGCTTTTAATGTATTTACCTAGCAGAATAAAAAATCCCTTCCATTTGGGGGAGTGTAGGGGGGTTCTATTGGTTGCGAGAATCTAAAAGTTTGGGAATCATGGGTTTTATCGTTCTAAGGACTCCTCAGCTCCTCAGGTTCTAGAGGACTTAGAGAAATCACTTACTGGCTAAGTCAGCCTTGATGAATTTGTTTATTACTTTTTTATGGTATGTCTAGCCCTAACTAGAATGTAGACTCAGTTCCTGGCCCATAGTAAGTGCTAAAGAAAATGCGTGTGATGGAGGGAATGAACAACCCACCTGAGGCTGCTTCTTGTCCCACCGTGAAGTTCAGGGTTTGACACAGGAAGGCCAGGGCATGTTCTACTTCCTCAGTTCTGTTGAGGGGGAATACAGTCTGCCCAGAAAGATCAGATGACTTGGATACTGTCACCCAGCACCCAGTCTCAGGCACACAACAGCCAAAGGGGATAACTGAGACAGATAGGGGCTGGACCAACCCAGGAAACCCAAAGAAAAGCCGATGGGTGGGCCAGGGAACAGGAGGTGGGGACA